GGCTGCGGCCGTTTTCAAAAAGATCTTATTAACAGCTGTGAAGGGTCTATACTTTCTCGTAAACTTTACCCCGTTTTTAGGGAAGATAAATAAGATCAGTTACCAAAAAAATCTGTAATAAAAAAAACAACTAAGACTACAAAGTTCTTTAAGGTTTTCAGTGAGGTGCTTTGTACACGCACTGCACGGAGCTGCTTCTCGCCTCCCAGCCCCATGCAGAACAGCGCTCCGAGGAACTGATCGAGTGGGTGAGGCTTAAGAGCCACGGTAGAAAATAGGACACTTTTTAAAAAAAAATCCAAATGAGAGCATTTAAATGGAATAATCTCCAGCACACTTTTTCAAAAAAGATTTTATTTATTTATTTTTAGAGAGGGAAGGGAGGGAGAGAGAGAGAGAGAGAGAAACATCAATGTGCGGTTGCTGGGGGCCGTGGCCTGCAACCCAGGCATGTGTCCTGACTGGGAATCGAACCTGCGATGCTTTGGTTCGCAGCTTGAGCTCAATCCACTGAGCTACACCAGCCAGGCCCAGCACACTTTTTTAACATGGATCTTGGGGCAGAAAGGGGATAGTATCTGATTGACATTTGGGGATTACCTCTAATCCTGTGGATGAAATGGGAGGGACGCTGCCCACCACTTGTTAGTCCACCTGAGTTTCTCGCCCGGGTCGCTAGGGTGCGAGAAGACGCAGCCCAGAAGGAGGCGCTGTGCAGGCCTGTGGTCCTCTCGGTGGACAAACGGCGAGCTCAGGAAAGCTTCATTAAACTGCAAGTAGCTCATTTAAACCACATGTAGTCATAGCAACTTCTAGGATCGATAAATGACACGTTTTCCCTCCTTGTATATAAATACTTGACAATCCCAATCCATTCTATTTAGTGTTTTTTTTTCCCTGGTCCTTTGCAGTTCAAATTAATTAAAATTTGATTTATTTGGCAAATGTGTTTTTTCCCCAGCTCTGCCTCCTTCTTGCACAGAGGCTCAGCTAAGTACATGAAGATCAAGGGGAAATGCTGAGCTTTTAGTGAATGATTACTTTTCAGTGTGGCTACACCCTTAAACATTAATTTTAAATGAAAACCCTTTTTAACCTGTTAGGTGAGTAACTTTGTGAATATTTGGTCTGGAAATTGAGATCATTTATTAACATTTTAAAGACTTACGAATTGTCCCTGTAGTCCTCGAACACCAAAAAGGAAGAAGATTGCATTTTGAGACCTGTTTTTTTTTTTATTGAAGTGATAGTCACATAAAATTAACCAGTTTAAAGTGAATAGTTCAGTGGCATTTAGTATATTCACAATGCTGAGTGGCTACCACCGCTAAATAGTTCCAGAACATTCTCCTCAGTCCCAAGTCAAAACCACCCCCCCCGCCCCCCCATTCCTCGAGTCCCTGCAGAGCCTGCGACCACCGATCCTCGCCCCTGAGACCTGGGAGTTTGAAAGACTTGTTCGCAGTTGCCATGGGCTTCAGGCCCGCCGTGCGAGGGCCGCTCACTGCCGCAGACACCCGCGACTTCTTTTACCTTATTTTGCTTTTTCACAACCTAAAGCTCAAACGCACGGAAGGAGCAACGTTCATATCCCACCCATTTAATAAGGTTGCGCTTGAACTTCCTCCACCAAGAAAAATGAGTCCCTCGTGAGTGAGTGTCCGACGGTGTCCAGGATGCGGGGAGGGGGAGGCGGCCAGGGCCCTCGGAGTGTCCCTCCGCCCGGGCGCTCCTGGGTGTCCTGGTGCATCCCCACTCTGCGCTCGAGGCCGGGCCCACGCCCGCGCGGGCGGATGCTGCGAATGCTGGGACTGCTCTGTAGGTAGACGCCTTGGGGACAGAGGGGTGAAAAGTAGACGATGTCTCTCCCCAAATTAGACATCAAGACTCTTATTGGACATGTATGAAAAAAAGCGGTTCCTGACCCAAGGCGCTTCTTTGCATTAGCTAGAGGGAGCGACGGACGATGGCCAGCCGCGCCGCCTCAGTGCGCCAGCCGGGCTCTCCAGGAGGGCGGGTCCCCCGAAGGCCTCGGGCTGCGCGTTCCTGGGGGCGGGCTCTCGGGGCTCAGGCACTGCAGTTCACGGTGGGGAGCGGGGTGCCAGGTGCCGACCTCCTGGGCTGCACAGATCCGCGGCCTTTAGCACCCGCCCCGAGGTTCATCTGCACGGGCGCCCAGGGGTCCCTTCCAGACGGGGGCTGCCTCCTCCAGCTTCCTAGCTGTTGCCACAGCCCTCTTGGCACCTGAGCCTCCTGGTGTCCTCTCCCCTTTGTGCGGGCGTGCGCTCGCGCTCTCTCTCCCTGGAGCTTTCCAACTTTCCAAGGATGGGAGTTCACAGCAGCTTTTTGGGGGGTGGGGGGTGGGGGGTGGTGACATCCGGAAGGGTTCACGCATTCACAGGCCGCACTCACCTTAGGTCTTCCACTTCAGGAGGGCGCTGCCGGAGCATGCACCCCCGCCCCACACCCACCTCGCCCCCGCTCCTCTGAGGCGCAGAACAATTTCCGTTTATAAAATTCTATTACGAACTTTTTCTTGTGGAGAGCAAGAACTGTCCGTATAAAAGCTCGCCCTGCGGTCTGCCTCCTCCTTCCGGAGCCACCCCGGGACGCCAGTCTCTCCTCGCGCCGGGGAGCACAAAAGTCTCACTCACAGACCTGTTCTTGCGCGTTTGCTCAACCCGCGTGCCCTTGGGGAGGTGCCTGCTCTATTCCCTGCTCCCCGCACCCGCGCAGCCGCGCGCAAAGCACAGCCCCTGCCCTGCGCGAGCTGATATTCTCGCGGTGGCGCGAGATAATACAGGAAAAAAGAAGAAGAAGAAGAAGAAGAGAAAGGTGCATGTGTACGATAGTGTCGGGTGGCGGCAGGTGGGGCAGGTGGGGGAGGGGCAACAGTTCAGGGGGTGCTCTCTTACATGGGCGGAGCCGAGGCTGGGGCACAAGTGAATCCGGTCAGCGTAGACTCCGAATCCGTCCAAGGTGTCACAGCAAACCCATTGCAAAGTGCAGACAGACAAACGGCACTTGACTTTGGAGTGATCCATGCCTTCCGTTTCAGAGCACGACATGGCATCGGGGGACGGCAATACGGTGACACAAGGCAAGGGGAAGGAGAGCACCGCCCTGACGACCGAGATGAGACGGCTAAATCCACGCTGACCCACGCCGCCCGAGGAGACTGCTGGAACGACCGGCCGACGCACGGCCAACGTTGTAGGCATTGTTTAGGTTAGAGCGAATGCGATGTTTGGAGACCAAGCACGGTTCAGGGTGGGTCCAGGGAAACAAGTAGGCTACTAACAATCCATAAAATGCTGAGCATAGGGCTGAACACTTAGATATCTGCTGAACATTTCGATGCATATAGATTTGTTAGATAACTGTTTATAGCAACACTGAAGAATCAAAATGCGATTTAGGGAATGCAGGCCGGTCAACCAAAGAGAGCTTCTGTTGAAGACCACCACGGGTCCACTTCTGGGCCTGGGGTGCACATTTGTGTCAGGGTACCGGGTGGAGGGAGAGTTCTGGGCAAGAGGGAGTGGGGGTGGGGCAGGGAGTATGGTATTTAGGTCTTGTCATGGCATCAGGGGAATTTCATCGTTGTTTTGTTTTTTTCCTTTGGGAAAAATCAAAGCCACCCCCGAAGGAAGTGGGATGTTTGGAGCTGGCGGGAGTTTGAGGAGCAGCCCTGCACTGTGGCAGGTGTGCAGGGCCGCTCAGGGGCGCCCAGGCGACCTGGCGGGAGGGGGGTCCTGGGCAGAAACGGTTCTCAAGAAAGCCACCTGGGACCGAGAGGGCTGGGAAGGATCTTGCCTACTTGGGGGAGGTGTGACGGTAAATATTTATATATTTTTGTAAGCAATTGTTAGCCCACAGCATCCTCCATGCCTACCCATGTTTATCACCCTCTGGAGAAAAAGAACATAATATTGCGTGTTTAAAATGGTTAGTTAGCATAGAGGCACAGCTCTGAGATTTTCAAAGGTCCAAGGCACGGGGAGTTTCTTGTTAATAACTGCTGTAATGTTCACGGTGGTAAGCAGAAGAGAGTGAGAACAATGTCGTTACTGGATGTCTAAAATGTCAAAAAAGAAGCAACAGAGGGAATTTATTTTCAAGTAAGTGCAGTGACTTGGATGAGTGTTTAACTTAAGGTGGAAAATTGCTTCTGGGGCGGTTTGGGCAAGAGTCCGTTTTCGGCCGGAAGTGCCGGCTGTGACTGACAGTTTTGCGGGTTCCCTGTGACATCAGCTGATGCGCGGGAGGAGGAGCACCCTCCGGGGGTGGGGGTCTTTGTCAGGACGTGTTTGCAGAGGTGTTTTGTTTAGAATAAAGATTTATTTAAGCTCTGTTTCGGCACTCGCCTGTGTTTTGTTCTCAGCGCCTGAATGTGTGTGTTGGAGTGGGTGGGCCGTTAGGGTTGGTTCCTAAGGACCCATGGGCCACGGCTCAGTGACAACGGGACCAACGGGACCGCTGTCCGGAGCCCATTTATGACCCTGGTGGGTCGTCGAGGGCCACCTAGCCACTCCGGCCAGTGGGTGGGAACTCTCTTGCGCGCGTCGAAGGGAGGTCCCTTGGCTGAATTTTCTACTACGCGTGGGAGTCGTGTGTCCGAACACGAGACCGGACATTTCGGTCTTTCCTCACGTGTCTGGTCTGCTTGTGTCCTAGAACGTCCTCAAAATTATGTCCCAATGTGCTAACCCGTTCTACAGAGGCCAAAACAAAAAAAAAGGATGAGCCCTTCTGCCGGCGTTCGCGAGTGGCCGTGCTCTGAAGGCAGACAGACAGACCTCTCGGTGCTCGTCACAGGACAGTCGTACCCACGGAGGGCAAAGGCCACTCGGCCTGTGGGCAGACTACGAAAACGCTTTCAGTGGATTGACACTGCATGGAAAAACTTGTATTTGCATGAGGGAACACATCTAGCCTGCCTGGGTTTTTCTTTTTTTTTTTAAAGATGGGAGAAACGGTGTGGATGATGGAGAAAGTTA